AACTACAAATGTGGTTATTGAAAGTAATTGAAATAACATGTTTATTTATAGCTGATGCATGTTGGTTTGTATGGGAGAGAATACGAATGGACGACATAGAGAAACACAGGGTAATATCTAAGAGAGATACGTAAAGTTGTTTTACTTATAAAGAGTAGGTATACCTCTGAGAGAGGATAATTAAAACTATGCCCAGCATTTCGGGAATAGTTTAAGGCTAATTTACGGAGAGAATAACTAACTGACAGATTGTAATGCAATAACTCATATATAGATATAGGATATAGACTACATGCACACATAAGCTGAACTCCAAATTGATAATAACAACATTTCAAGCGCCAAATCAACTGAAGAAAATTAGTTTTTAAATAAAAAATATGTATGTATAAGGTACTTATTTAAAGGAGTGCTGAATGCAAGATATGCTTCTGATTATTTTACTAATATACCATTTTAAATATCAAATCAATTTTTTTGAATTGCGAAAAATTCAGATAAGTTTATATAAACAGACTGATAAGAACAATTTATGAGTAAGAAACAATCTTACGTTTCAAAGAACTGTCATAGGGTCACATATAAAGCAACTTGACCAAGATGAAGTCAAATGTGAGCTGTGAGCTCTGCCAAATGTCTACTATTGTTAGAGAGACAAAAGGAATAAGACTTAGCTATATTATATACATAATAAATATATTTATGCATATACCAAATAAATGACTAAATAAATATATATTTGCTGAATGTGGCATTGTTGATTTTGTATTTGCTTGCTAGAAAATGCAAAAATACCAACGTCGCCTTCACAACTAATTTATATATTTATTCACAGACAAATTTATATATTTATCATTATGCATATAGTATATCCTATTGTTACTGTTTTTGGTCTGTCTAACAATCGTAGAGATTTGGCAACTAGCTCTCAGTCTTTCTGGGCATCTATAAAATTCATCTTTGTCTAAGCACAAACAACTTGTATTCTAAATTGGCTCAAATAGTAAAGGAAATTAATTATAAAATTTCTGCCCATCAACCTATATAAAAACGTATTTATTGGCTAACTTTAATTATGAAATCATAATTTTTGAAGTATATTCCATAATCACAAATTAATAAATCATGGAATTACTACAACAAAATTAAATAATCTTTAAATTACAGAATATTTCCCATTAACTTGACGTTAATTGAACTTTCCTCTCCAACTGCTGTTGCTATAATCTCAGGTGTGAGAACACCTGTTTTGAAGAGACTCGCTCGAGGGAAGGGTTGAAAATCAGCTGAGACGCAATTTCGATTTAATCGCGTTAAAAGTGTGAAAATTCAACACACACACAAACAAAAGCAAAGCTCGAATGAAGCCATAGTTGGATAATAGTTAGACAAGTCAACAATTTTAAAGTTAATAAAAACAGTTAAAAGTAACAACAACAGAAACAACACGGCAGCATGCAACAGTTGTGTGTGTTTTGGTGTGTGTGTGTGTTTGTGTTTGTGTTTGTGTAGGCATGCGTGTGCGTGTGCGTTCGATTTATATTTGAAGTCTGCCGATGACGGGAGACGTCATGAGAAATTATCTAAAAACAGAATCAAATGGCGGCTGCACAAACATGAGAGAGTGAGAAGAAATTCTAATTAAACGGTTAGCTTGAGGGGATTAAAATGTCGAAGGGGGTATTTGCGAACGTCCATAACAATAATGAAATATCATGTAAATGAATGCGATGGACAGATCCAGGGGGGCGGAACGGAGTGGGTAGTGGTAGGGGCGTGGCTTGGCAGTTTTGGCTGCTCTCTCGCTTCGGCATATTCATGAGAAAAATGCAAATGTTAATTACAAGCGGCCCCAAAATTAGAACTGTGCGCGTTATGCGTGACTAATGCCAGACACTGTATAGATGTATGTATGTATGTGTGTGTGTGTGTGTTTGTGGGTGTGCTGGATTAGGCTTGTAAATGTAGTTGATGAGCGCCAGTTGAAATTCAGAATGAAATGTATGCAAGGCTGATGGTGTTGCATAAATATTTCATAGAAGAATTTACCTTTTCGGTTGGTAATTGTTGTTTGTTTGAGAGAGTTTGGAGAGTCAAAGAAATAGAGAGAGAGATTTCAAAAAATACATAAACAGAGAGCAAAAGAGAAAGAAAGAGAGAGAGAGAGAGGCAATAAATGTACAATTATAACAATTAGATCAATTCTGAACACACATAGAGTGAGCGCAGCTAAGCTCTGATTGCTGCAAGGCGCGCTAAAAAGGTGGGGAGCACATTAATTAGCAAATACGTCACATAAATGTATATTAGTATGTATATATATATATGTATAGTATATATAGAGAGAGAGAGCATTAAAGTATATCAATTGACAGTCTGTTTTGCACAGTTGGCATATTTACCCATGTTAAGTAAACGTGCGCTGCTTGTTATGCTACGATTTCTACGACGGCTTTCAGTGGCGCCTCATTAAAATCGAAGCTGCTGTTGCTGTTGTTTTAGTTGTTGATGTTTATTGCTGTTGTTTAGTAGTACTGGTTGTTCTTGTTGTTGTGATGGGTTCGCAATTTACTTAGTTTTATTTTTACATTTTTGCGTTGTACGTATCAGCTGTATGTTGTTGCTGTTGTAGCTGTTGTTGATGTTGTCGTGGCCTATTATTAGTATTGTTTACTTAATACATACATAGATATATGGCATATATATCTATATAAATAAATACAGAAATTTACTACATTCTCCGACTATAAATGGCATGCTTTTATTAATGTTATGTAACAACACACACACGCACACACTCGCACTCACACTCGCACTCACACTCGCACTCGCACATAAAAAATGTTTTCATATATATTTCTGTTCTATTTCGAAAAGTTGTCCGCATTCATAGCACTGTCAGCACGCACTGAGAGAGCCAAGTCAAAACCTTGACAGCAACTAAAGCTGAACTAGTTTTATTTTTTTGTTTTTCTTTATTGTTTGCTGGCCCATGGATTTGGATTAGGTAAGAAGACATCGTCGCCGTTGCCGCGCCATTGTACTATGACTTTTGCTCGGTCGTTCATCGATCCTGGTTTTTGTTTTTTTTTGTTTTTTGTTTGTCAGTTGCTAACTGTCGTCTTGACCCAGTTTTGAGTGCTGGCCAAGTCGAATAGCCAGCACTAGCAACAAACACTAACCGTAATCTACAAAACTTTAACTGACATTTCAGCTTACCTTCACAAATTGTCTGTGACATACCAGAAATTGTGTGCTTTGGCGTTTGTGGCTAAGCCAAGCTTATTTGGTGCAATTGCAATGCAATGCCATTTTCAGGCTGATATATCGAGTTGAAATTTGATTTGATTTGTTGAGTAATTTATTGATATTTTTATGTTTAACTCAAATATTTTTGGTAAAATTTCGTAAGTGAATATTCACTGTTATGCAATGGCTTAATCAATTTATTCAGCCTTAACCGAATTCTAACTGAACTTTATTAATCGTCTTCATCACGAACTTGTGTATGTGTGTGTGTGTGTGTGTTTGTGCATGACGTGAATCACAAGAAATCGGATATGCTTTAATAGCGACAGTCCAAGCACAACAATACACACACATGCCCCATGTATTTGTGTGAGTGGCTTTCTCTCTATGTGTGCGTGTGTGTGTGTGTGTGTGTGTGAATAACAAACCATATCAATAGCCAGCAAATACAATTTCACTCGCGCTTCAGGAAATGGGCCGCGCTGAAGAGGCGCGCTCGCTGCCCTCGACCGCAAAACGGAAGTCGACGTTCGATAGAGTGAACTTTTTTCTGTTGCATAGTTTTAGGAGCTGCATAAAATGCCTCCAGCAATTGCATTTAATTGCAATATTCCGGTCGATCGATATTATTATGGCCTCATTCAATTAAGAGTTAACAAGCACGCACACACATGGCCATTGGCATTGAAACACCATTGTACTACGCTCTGTATGCAATTAATTGCGTTATTTCACAATTGCAGAACAGGAAAAAAAAGAAGCTACAATGCAATTATAAATAAAGTAAATAAAAAACAGAAAGCTACTTTTGCACGTGTGCGCGCTTTCAATCGGTGCTGCCGCTGTGGCTGTGCTGCCGTCGACGTCGACGTCGGCGTCGCCTCGGTCGATGTAGCCAACGCTCTACGTGCTGGACGAATATCAAGGGTACACTGTTCAGCGGCCACACACAGAACGAGCCCACACAATGACGACGCCAACCATAACTGACAGGCGACCGAGCCAGCGCACAGATATAAAAACATAGATAAAAGTGGCAAAATACTTGCGGAGGCCAAGCAGCAGCAGCAGCAGCAGCGACATCTACACGTGCCAGCACATTCACATATATATGTATATTTACATAAAGAAACGCATTGGAAGCTACACGTAGTAAGTGTGTGTGCGTGTGCGTATGTGTGTGTGCGTGTGTGTGTCTTCTGCACGTCAGACAGTCTCTAAGCGCCCGCCTTTGAGTTGTTTTCATGTTCACTCGCTTGACATTGTGTCGTCATCAACCCCCAACGTGAACACACACATACACGCACCCGCACACACACACACATGTGTGTGTGTGTGTACATGCGTAGGCTTACCTGCCCACTACACAGACACAGACACAGATATAGACACAGACACACGCACGCACGCCCGCACACAAACAACATTCATTCAATGAACTGAGCTGTATGCACACAGAGAAAAGTCTACATATACACACTCACACACTCACTCACATATACATATATGTATATATATGTAGCACATACATGCGCGTTGCGTGTAGTGAATTTCCTTCAGCTTTGCTAGCTGTTCTCCGCACTAACGACGCACACAGCTGAGAGTTCCGCACTTGACTAAGTTGGGTTTGCTTTGGAAGCACACTGCTTACCCGGAGGCCAGAACACCAGCTGTGGGTCATGCGCACTGCGGCCACAGACGCAGCCGGACAGCTGTTTGTACACTGCGAGAAAGCGTGGTTTGCTACTCACGAGTCTCCACGACCAGTATGGCCGTCACGAATTCGCAGAGCACCTCCTGGTGGCGCTTCAGGCGATCCCGCGTGATCAGCACGCGTTCCAGCATGTAGCCCATCATCAACAGCTCCACCTTGAGCATGGCACAGACATCGATCAGCTGGCGCACGCTCAGCGTCTGCAGCACCTTCTGATTGCCCGCCAGGCCGCTGGCCATTTTCGCTCCAGTCTCCCTCTTTGCGGATCTGCGGCAGTGACGTTGCTCCTTGGAGCTAGGCTTCTCCTGCAGTTTCTGGTGGCGACGGCAGCGACGCAGACGTCTTGCCTGCTGCTCCTGCTTGCCATAAATGTCGCATAGCAATGCACTCAGCAAGGTTTTCGTGTCGCTGTGGTTGTTGCCAATTAGGTTAACGCTTATCAGGGCCGAATGCTAAATGTTAATTAAACCTCACCTCATTTTCGTAGACTTCAGTGATAGGACACAGTGGTTGTTCAACGGTTGCCGAATAGGTATTTTCTTCTATCGCCCGTAATGGCTTTTTTATGCAAAATATAAAACAGAAAATACAAAATAAATTTACATAATAATCGAAGCATTGTTTGATTAAGTTTAAGTAATTTCGGAAAATTTTCCTGCCCAATGCCTAGAGCTATGGAAATGTCCATTAAACCTGGTGAATTGGACATGCAAAGACTTGTTTATTTGTATACTGATTTGTACCTGTGGGTACACTCGCCATTACAAATGTTTAGATACCACCGCTACGCCAAAAGAGAACGTGGAAAATATTTTAATTGGTAAATATACGTAAATATTTAGGAATACAATCCATGATAAATCATTTCTAGTCTGCGTTTACAGGAAGTAGAAACTTGAAAACTTATATCTATAAGCTATATCCATGGCCACGTCTTCCAAAGTTTTTCTATTGGTGGCGTTTCGGCGGAACACCTGAGTGTCATATTATTATTCATCCATACAGTTCGCTTAGTATAGATCATTCTTCGCTGCTGCGTTAACGTTGCAGTCAGCAGAACATGTGTTTATGAATGGGTATCCTCCAATCGAGCAGTACCGACTAGCACTACTTTACTTGTTTTATTTAAATTGATTATCATATAGAATTATCATATAGAATTGTTCTCAATAATTAAGCTTTATTGAGGCTAATCACCTATCTACCATATTGTGTACATTACGATTGGAATAGTTATTGTCCCTGATAACTCATTAATGCATTATTATCTATAGCACTATGAGATTTACGACGAGAATTGCAATTTCATTTTGCCTAGCCTTATGCATTTATTTTTATAACACAATATTCCAAGTTTATCTGTAATTTCCTTTCTTGTATTAGCTTTAACTCTAAGAGGTACACATAGAAATAAAAAATATTTAAATATAATAATTAAATAAACAACAAATAACGAAATAAGTCAATAAATATATGAATAAATAAAAAAAAAAATTAAAAAATTAATTAATAGACCTATAATAATAGTAAATTTAATGAATTAGAAACGAAATAAATAAATGATAATATAAATAATTTAATAAATAAGCTTATAAGTATATTTATTGGTTTATTATTTTATAAATCAATAAATAACCATAAACGAAAATTCATTTGTTGTTTCATACATTTAAATAAATGAAATAAGTTGTAATCAGCTGTTACTGACTACATAATATCATTTACCCCATTTTCACACCCCAAATGGTATATCCAATCTTTCAGTGGCCGGAAATGCATTTTCCATGTCTATTTGCCATGCCTAGTGCTCGGATAAGGGAAAATTTGACACTTTTTGATTCGAAAATTGCATGTGTTGCGGGGAAATGGTGTACATTGCTTCGGACAGACTGATGGACGGTAGACTAACATGATACAACTCCAATATTTCCTTGAATGAGTATATAAATACGTAATAAATTTATTCACATGTGAAATATAATGTATATAATATATTTATGATGATCTCTTTGAAAAATATATAAACGTTTAGTTCAATATTCGTGCACAAATACTGCAGACTCTTCGTTCAATTACCCATTAGTATAGAAACTATTCGAGGAATAATTTAATTAAAATCTTAAATAAATTCAATTCAAAGTCAAAAATAAAACTAACTTTTTCTTTTAACCATAAACAATTTTATTTCAATAAATTTTATGCTCTGCAACTGTGCAACTAAGGATGTGTACAACGTCTAAATATTGTAAATGTGGTCAGAGGTAATTTTGTGGCAAGTATTTCATGCATCGTTGTAAGATCGAGGACGTGGTATAAAAATTTGAAAAGATGTCCAAGCAGATTTCATTCACTGTGCTTGCTGACTTGTTGCTCATCATTCATAGTATGAGTGATTATACAAATATAAAAACATTAACGCACTCTCTGAATCGGGACTCAACGCGGATCTCAATAGAATGTTCGGTCCATATGTGTGTTCAGCGAGAAATTTCGATACATTCCAAAGCGCACGACATCGTTGGAGAATTTCTGGGAGAGGGGAAAGAAACGCGTTGGTATGGTATAGGCATTCGGAGCATAGTATCCATATTCAGAGTTGCAAGTGCGGTACATGGTATTGGTGTCCTTCTCCACGCCATAGCCCTTGAAGTTATCTGTGAAGGGATTACGAGAATAATTTCCATGTAGATCGAGAAGTAGAGGCTGATCACTTACAGGGGCATTTGATATCCTCGCGCTTGTGCAGATTCTCATAGAGCTTGGCCGTCTGCACTTGCGGCTTACGTTTGATAAATTTAAGAAATTCCGCTTCTGGATTGAAGCTCTCCAAATCATCACAGAAAGTTTCACACATTTTCACTGAAATCAGTGCAACCTCAAATATGTAAATGTAAAATTTGTTAGTTCTGAGTTGTTTTTAGTTAAATGGTTAACTGTGCTACAATCCGAGCATATCGAACAAATACTCCACTCGCCCAAGGGTTGCTTGGTTACGATTCGAAACTGACAGACGAGGCGGCAACAACAACGCATGCGCGCTGCGAGCTGTCAGCTTGACAGTTCAACAAATGGGGGGCAGATGCCAGCCCTGAATGATGAACATATACACAAATTGGGCAGCAACTTGTTTGGTCTGACGGATGCACAAAATGTACAATTTGTCGAATGTGCTTAACTTCATCATCTGCATGGCCAGCTTCAGCCAGTCGTTCGACGGGGCCTTGGCGGTCAAGCGAGGACCCCACCATCCGCGTGGGGAAACACGACGAGTCGACCAGCATCTCACCCATGAGGAGCAGTGAGTGTTGGTTGAGAGGAGTGTAAATAGTTTGCAGATAAATATTTTGATTTCCCAACAGTCGCATTGATGACGACCTCAAGGATATGGGCATTCAGGCGAGTCTGGAGGACATGAGCGAGGAGGAGAAAATATTCTACATGTTCAAGGTAAGCAGCTCCAGTAGCTCGCTGCGAGTTCCATTAACTTACCCACACACTCACACTCACACCCTTAAATAGGCGCACGACAATGACAATAACAATGCTCTGGACGGCCTGGAGATGATTCAGTCGGCCATGCATCACAACTACGACTATCTGAAAAACAAGCAACGCGACAGCTATTTGCCAAATGCCAGCGAAGAACTGGACCACTTCATAGGTGAGTTGAGTTGAATCCTTATACGAATGGGCATAATACCCTACGATCATTTCACAGATGCCATTGACAAGTTTCTGCTGATTGCGGATGACAACAACGACGGGCTGCTGCACTACCCGGAGTTCGTGAAGGCCGTCACCGGAGGCAAGGAGCAGCTGGCCTTGGAGCGGAACATGCTCCGCTAAACTGGGTGCGGATGAACTTCTCTTGATACAATAATAGATATAGCTTAGTTAAATTGTAGCACTTAGTTAAATCACACGTGTATTTCCATGCTGAACCGTTGAGACTGTACATAACACACACACGTACACACTAGCACACACACACACACCACCATAAAGCCGCAGCCAAAAGCAATACTACAATAGCACTATTTAAATAAATATTTCATTTGTACTACAATAATTGAACCGGGAGTATTAGTATATTAGGCGCTGGAGGCGGGGCAGGCGGGCTATAAGAGGCCATCGCAGGACTGAGTGGTGTTGCAGTTGGCTCCTCGATAGCCGTCGTAGGCGGCGCGCTCCATTAGCACGATGAGGTCGTTGTAGCGCGGCTTCTCCAGCGGTGCGCTGCAAATAGTTGACTCCATAAATAAAGTGTGAATCAATTTCAATACAGATTGGCTCAAGCTCACCCCTGGAACACATCGATGGCGCCCAGCAGCGCGCGGCCCGCCTTGGCGTACTCGTAGGCCGCGTTGGGGCAGGCGCAGGCCGCGGCATACAGACAGTCGTCTTGGCCGGCGCCCTGGGCGGCCAGAAAGCCCATTATGAGATAATCATCGCCGGAGCTGAGGCCCAGGCCATAGGTGCCGTCGATGCGCGACGCGGAGCGCGCATAGCCATGGCCATAGCCCACGCCGCTCCAATGGCCCGCTCCCAGCAGGCCGGCCGAGAAGATGAGCACCTTGAGCAGCACTATGATCAGCAGATTGGTGAGGTTCAAGCTGAGCACCTGCGAATAGCTGACACATGCAGTAATCATCTTTCGATTGGTTAATATGCAAACTGCGCACGCACTTGACTATTGCCCGCGGAGCGATGCAGCAGCTCCTTGGCCACCTGGACGACCACATGCCCCGCCGGGCTGGCGAACATATCCTGGGCGCTCCGCAGCCACGACAGCGGTCGCAGCTCCGTCTGGGTGTCGTTCAGCTCATTCGTTGCGGGGCTCTGCAGCTGCACAGCTACGCTGGCTGCCCGACCACAGCCCAGGATTGCCAGCAATGACAGCGCGAGCCCAAGCATCCAGTTGGCTAGCATTTTGTTTATTATTATTACTTGTTAAAGATCGCGTGCGAGTTGTTGTTGCTGTTGTTGTTGCTGTTGCTGTGGCTGTCGCGTCGTAACTGGTCTGAGCTGCGGCAAGTGCCTGGTTTTTATCTGTCGCACATCTGGTGGCCAAAACGGTTCCGTCTTGGCTTGGCTGCAGGTAGCTGCAGCGGCAAGGCCAGAGGCCCAGAGACGCCGGTGAATGTTGTGCCTGGCTGCACCGTTAAAGAGAGCTCACAGTGCGGCATTTGCGGCAGCGAAAGATCGAGAGTGTTTTCCTGGTGTCATTAGCCTGAAATTGGCCACACATTTTTCCACTTCGAGGATCGCCACTTACCTGCCCAATGTCAGAGATTTCCAGGTAAACGCACGCGAAATTGTGCGTGTCCTCAAGTAAACCAACACAATTGCCATAGTTTTGTTTTTGTTTTTGCTTTAGTTTTTGTTGTTGTTATTTATTTATATTTTTGTATCAATCATCAACTCGTTTATTGTTACTTGGGTGTTGCTTGTTGTTGTTGTTGTTTGTTAAGTATGTATGAATGCGTGTTTAATGCAGATTCGAAACAAACGTTGATTTGTTGTTACTCAAATGTTGTTGCTGTTTTAGAAGAACTTTTAATTTCATATATAAATATGAATATTCATACAATTTCGATTTTTATGCAATTACAGACAACATGCAAATACATAATGTATATATGTATGTATATATGTATATATGTATATATAAATGTGCGTAGATACTATACTTTCACAATAATACGAGTATGAGTATTTATTTGGTATATTTTGCAACATCTGCACGTAGTATGTATGTAAAGAAGTATTTATTTATTTTAATATATGTATAAGTATGCGTGTATAATTTTAAATATTTTATTTGCTTTTGCTTTTATGTTTCTTGTGTCTTAGATTTCAGCATTTCATGATGCGCTCCATGATATTGTTTGATGTGATGATATATGATATAAAGCCTGTATGTGTGTGTGAGTGTGTGTCTTGAAGGTATATAACCTTCTTCCATTGTAAATAGATGTTTGTAAAACAATTGTATATGATTTCATATGTGCCAGTTGAGTATAATATATGTATGTAGATATTGGATTCGATTCGAAATGATGATGTATGTATGTGTGGCCCATGATGTACATATGTATGTGTGTATTTTCGAATGATATTCATTAATTAAAATGCATTATGCCATGAGAACAAACCAAGCTCAGGACTCAAATGATAAAGATAGAGCTCTTTGTAAATATTATTCATTAAATTCGTAATACATATTCCGAAAACTTTTCACTTTTGTAAAACACTACTAAATTTGAGTTATACATATATATATATATTTGTAATTGAAATATTTCTGAATTGTAAAGTTTATATTAAAAGGGGAGCTGGGATTAAAACAGAATCTATTGTTCGATTTGTATATTTCGTAACTAACTGAGATAACGGTCGTCACTTTTCAAATACATATTCTAAAAGTTTGTAATATACAACCCAAGCTTAAAGTTGGTTTAACTATTTCTCGCGATATGTAACAACAAAATCAATCTATATAGATATTTATATATATTTAGCTATTGTTAAAATAATGCTTAAACATGTGCGTAACAAAATCAATTTAATATTTACGGCTAAAGTTTCGCATTAACCTAGTTCCTCAATGCAATATGTCTGCTACTTCTGTTGGCTTCTCTGCTATCATATTGTATGTTCGTTGTGGCATCCAACAATTGGGAATAGTCCATATTGCATGAGCATCGATCCTCTCCAATCTCCAATCTCCCATTTGCATTCATTTTTCTACTTTTTGTTTCAGTTTCGTATTTACCTTAATTTAACATTGCTTTGCTCGCTGTTGTTTGAGTAGCTATGCGAGTACGTTTGTATGTGTGTGTAAACATTAACTACTAGTATATGCATGCATATATAAATGTATGCATACACATGTATGTATATGTATGTGTTGTACAATAATATTTGTGGGCATATAAACATTTAATTTGTGTGTAATTAGCTTTTGTGTATGTAACATTTGCTCATATATTATATATATATATATATATGTTCATATATTATGTATAGTTGTTATTTTGAAATTAGTATTCATTAATAACCATCGTTTGCATTGTAAACATTTAGTATATATTAGTTGAAGTTTCATTTTCATTCAATATTGTCTTTTATCTAAGCACTCGAGTTCAACGGAACTCACGATCTGTGCCTTTTAGTAGTTTATTTATTTAATATTCATCGCGCTCGATAACAATTTGTATTTTATTTTTCTGGTTTTTAGTATTATACGAATAAATTCAATAGCAAGTTAAAACATTTAATATACGCCTGCGAATATAGTATTTATTTAGCAACATTGAATATGCCATAAAACTGTTCTCAATAATTATTAATATTCTCCCATCATTCAAGCTGCCGCCCAATAATGTTTATTTATATGTCAGACGTCTTGCGTCTCTATCCCTAACATCCATCTCAGTTGCAAAACCAGTCAAGTCATCGTCGAAGTTTCGCATATTTGTGTGGTCTATTCTTGCATTATTATTGTTGTTACTTTGGTGGTTATAATTATACATTGTGAGTAGTTGAGAGTAGTTCTCCTTTCCTGCTACCATATCGCAAATGAGAAGTAACTGCATACATATTATTTATATATATAATAACAGGAGATTGTACATATAGATATTGTAGCATATTCATAAAACTCTTGTATCGATAGTGAAAACTATAGTAACTCAATGTGTATATAGATAATGTTAATGCTAATGCTGATGCAGATGCTAATGCTGATGCTGTTGCTGATGCTAATGCATGTTCATTCCCTTATGAAACCAGGAAACTTCGGAGGCAGAAAAAAGACAGATTCTCTATAGTTTAAATGTGTTTGTGAATGAGATATGCTATGAATGCTCCATGAAGTATTCGAGTGTGTGTCTCTGTATGAGTGTGAGTGTGTGTGTGTATTTCTGGACTTATTTCAAATCCAGTTCGTCCTCCTCCTCGGGCTTGGCGTTCCAGCGTCTGCCAGTTGAGTTCACGCTGCTCACGCTGCCCGAATCGCTAAAGTCACTGAAGGCCGCATTCTGTATGCCCTCGTATATCTTGTAGGAGTTGGAGGCTCCAACGCCGCTGGAGCTCATGCTCATGCTCTTGGAGGCGCCGAAGCGATCGGTCTTGTAGTGGGAGGGCGGTCCGCCGAAGATCATGTCCGCATCCGAGATGGAGCCGCCGGAGCGCGTGTATTTGCCATTGCCCGAGCTGGAGGCTGTGGTTGGCTTGCCATCTCCGAATATGATGTCCATATCCGATTGCTTCGAGGCTGTGAATGCAAACACACACGAATTAATAAATGCCCAACAATAATGAATAGATCAATGCACAATAATTTTGCGTGGGTGCAGTTGGGAGCCAATTCTAGCGCGCTTAAAATTAGCACTACGTCTGCCAATTGCTTACACACGGATCAAACTGGATTAACTGATTAAGGTGAGTGATGAGAGATGGCTTGAAATGCGATCACAATGAGCGTATGAGTATGACAGCGAGCAGTTTCAGAGTCTTGCAAGAGTCCTCAATCAACTTGACAGTGAGTGTGTGTGTGTGTGCATGCGATGTTCGAATGGATCTCGCCAATAGAATTCAAGTTGGAATTCGTGTGTTGAACTATATTTGGTGTGGGTAGGGGAGTGGGGGCGGGGGGTCGGTCTAGGTTTGCTTGCATTCCGCTGCAATACACACTCACACATACACATATACGTATAGACAAAGATAAATTTAAGATAAAAGAACTGAAACGGTTGCAAGAAAAACACATCTATCGAATTTTGTTCTACTTGAAGCTTCAGTTAGATACTTGATTATGCTGGCGTGTGTGTGTCTGTGTATCTGTCTCTCTGTATGTATGAGTGTGTGTGTGTTTCGTTGTGCGTGCCGAGAAAGCCGAGAAATTAACTGAGTTTGCGGTGCGCTCTATCGAGTAATTACTGTACTTCAGAGATAGTTGTTGTTCCTGTCTGTGTGTGTTGAGTTCTGTGTGTCGTTGTGGAGATTCGTGCGTGCAGGCAAGCGAATAGCAGCACTGGCGAGTGGCGAACTTACAAACAGTTTTGCGGCGCACGCGTCGTATACGTTATATTTGGCTTACACTTTCAAAGTTGGCTATCATATGAGGAGACTCACTGCAGAATACACAGAGAGTGGCGCCTAATTGGCTTTGGCTAACGTTCAGAATCGCTGTCTACTTGGCTAAGGGGGTTGCTTGGTTGCTTGGTTATCGATTACATCTTAACTTGGTCGCTGCTAAACTCGCATTAATATACAAATATACTCGTATCAATGTAGCTATGTATATATGAATATGTGTAGTATGGCATGTAGTTGAGATTATTGTGGGGTTATTCGTAAGTTGCGCTGATGTTACAGATGCTGATGCTGATGTAGATATGATACTTGGATAATGATACAATGATGTCTATACACTGATCTTGATGGCTGGCAGCCCACTCTAGGTCTTGCGCAGCGTTAGGCTGACCAGCAGCACGCCCACGGCTAGATAATTACCATTGCTCTCGGAGCGGGAGTAAGAGGGCCGCGTGTACGAGGGCAGATCGCTGGGATTGTTGTAGCCGGCCTGGGAGGCCAGCGAGTTCGAATCGTAGCCGGAGGTGTCGCCCGGCAGAGCGGCTGTGGTCACAGCCGCCGGCGCACTGTAGACGCTGGCCGAGCGCAGCCCAATGGCCGAGCGCCAATCGTTGTTGGACGCCGAGCTGGTGATGGCGGCGTTGGCGGTGCCCCCGGTCCCGGCTCCGGTGCTAATCGCCGTGATGCCGCTCGCCTCGCTTGCGCCGGCGCCGGCGCCTGCACCCGTGTCAATGGCCGCGGTATTTGTGGTGTTTGTGTCCATGCGCGTGATGGTCTCAATGGAACTGTTGCTGTCGTAGTTGCCGTAGCTGGTCTTGTCCTTGCTCAGGGTGCTGCTGAAGCTGCTGCGATAGGCGCTGGCGCTGACGCTCGAGCTGTTCGTGTTCGTGTTCGTGTTCGTGTTGATGTTGGCATTGGTGGCCACGTTGGGCGGCGGTGGTGGTGGACCGGCCGGAGGTGGCGGCGACTTGATGCTGTTGCCATTGCGATTGATGCGCGACGAGATTGAGGACGACGAAATCGATGATGAGGATGAGGTTGTGTTCGAGGCGGCACCGATGCTGGCGATGCTAACCGACTTGTGTGGCTCCTTGTCGAAGGGATTCACCCGCTCCTGTGGCTCAAAGTTGGTGACGGGCTTATACCCTGCAGTTGTTGTTGCTGTTGTTGTTGTTATATCCGTAGTATTGTCGCTATCCGAAGCGCTGGCAGCGGGCCTAACGGCTGAGCCGGCCGTTACTGCAGCTGCTGCTGCTGGCTCCTCCTGCGGTCGGCTGGGCTGTGTGGAGATCACATCCGAACCGCCGGACTTGCCGCCCGAGGCGAACGAGAACTGCTTACCCAGAAAGGAGCCGCTGAAGCCACTGCCTCCGCTGCTGGTGGGTCCAGCGCTGCTGGGCACGCTGCCCAGCCCGCTGCTGTTGCTAGTCTCGCTCGCCGTTCTGCCGCGCTTCTTATTAGCGATTTCCTACATGTCGCCAAATATCCCCGCGAAGGTCTTCCTCAGATTCTTCATGGTGTCCTCCGCATCCTCGACGACGGAGCTCTGAGTTTGCGGAGGACGCTGTCCGACCCTGGAGGCAGTCGAGATGCTCGACGCCTGCGACGTCTGCGAGTCGCGACGCACCCCACCCACCGAACTGGGCACCGACGAGGACGGCTCCTCGGGCAGCTCTGAAATGCTGCTACGGCTGCTCAAACGCCCAATCGAGCCCACCGCCGGCGAGGTGCGCTCCGGTATTGGTGGTGGTCCGCCCATCGGGGCTGGCCGCGGTCCAGCGGGCAGAGGCGGAGTCGGTGCCAAGTCATCAGTGGGACTCTCGGCGCGCGAGGAGACCGAAGAGCGCGACGGCAGCTTGCCAGGACCCGTCTGCGCCATGCTGGGCCGGCACACGTTCTAGAAAAGAGTCACTCAGCTAAGTCAATGTCCAACTCGTAGTCTGATCTGTGATCCGAAACTCACCTGCATGCGTCCAGACACCAGATCAGCTATCTGCCTGCGATCCTCCTCCTGGCTGTCGCCAATCAGGGCGAAAGTGCTATCGCAGGCACTGATTATGTACTCGCGCCCATCCTTGCCCACCACCACGGAAAGGCCGCACACCTCCATGCCGCCAAACAGTTCCGATATCTGTGAATAATGCGCTCCATGAATATATGTAAATTCATACAGAAATATTTGTATTTATATATGCGCATAGCTCAATCGAATCTAGCCATCGAAATCGAAATCGAAATCTGTTTTCGATTTGCTCGTTCTGTGTGTGGGTTGTTACTTGTTTGCGGCTGAGATACCCTGTGACAATAGCTAAGCGAGTATATTGGCTTACTGGTTTTCAAAAAGTTTGGCTTGTTTTAATACTCATAAAGATTTGGTTTTAGATGTGTTTAATCTATATAATATATACAGCTGTATTTATAAAAATTTTAAAATAAAATTTTAAAAAATTCATAAAAATACAAAATTAAGCATAGGATCTTAACCTTATTTTGGAGTTTAAGTATTAATATATAATTTTTTGGAACTCATTTGTTTGGTTACTTCTAATTCGACAAATATTAAATTATAATCTAAATTCGCTTTAGATCACTTTTCCATTTAAAATCTTCTTCCTCCTCTAGGCTTCAACAGGTTACAGAGTATTTGCCGTGCATAAGACTCGAGCGACAAAATCTTTACAACTTGTTGTTGTTACAGTTGCTGTCGTCAGCTCTTGGTTTTAATTACAAACACAGTTTGTTTTGATTAGGGGCAACGTCGCATTGCTTAGAATTGTGGGCATAAGACAGACATAAAGAGAGACAGAGAGAGAGAGAGAGAGACGGAGAGCGAGGCCTGGCTTATGGGCCACCCACCTAAAGCGCCGTCGCTGCATTGCCGCATTGCCCGCCCGTTTATCTAAGTAATGCACAAATTGCAGTTGCTGAAATTCATTTGTGCGCGTACGCGGAAATTCTGAGTCAGCGCGCTGGGCCTAGCCGCGTTTGCACGCTGAGTTCTATGCCATTTATGGCCAATGATGAAATGCCTCAATTGATGGCATTCTCGTGTTTCATAGTAATTATTGCGGTACTCAGTTCCGTTGCATCATAACTAATGCGTGCAGTATCTATTTTAAAGTGCGCTGCATATTCATGAATATTCGAATATTCGAATCGAAGCTGGCTCAATGCGGCGTGCGCCACACAAGCCAAGGAGTAAAGCCCACCAAATCCAAATTGTTGGCCCAAAAAATGTGCCGCGAATAATTCAAGTCGATTTTGTTGGCAATTTTGATTGGCAACGTTTGATAAATGTGCTCGCCGCTCTGGGCTGCCTTTCAGTTGGCTGCTCATAAATGCGGCTTAAACGCCCGATCTCTGTTAGCCGTTTGGGCTACATTAGCTTTGTCAGCAGGCCAGGCTAGGGCAGGGCAAGGAAAGGCCTAGACAAATAATATAAAATCTCAAATTATCAAAAATATACTCAAAAAAAAAAAAAAAAAATAAATAAATAAAAAATAAAAAATATATAGAGCAAAAGTATATATATATGGGGAATATATTCTATTTATGTATGTAGTTCCCATACTTCACAAATCTAAATTCCATGTTAAGCTAGGTTTTTTTTTTTTTTATCACTATAATTTATCATCATATATGTATATCATCATTTAATTCCATTTATATATCATATACGATCTGAGCATTCGTAAGCGTATTTGAAATTCGATGAGCTGGAGCACATTGCATTTCTCTTCAAATTTGACTAACTGTTTTGGGTTTCAGGCAGGTCGACTTACCTCATCCACCCAGGTTTTGTACTTCTCGGTTAAAGTGATTTGCTCGAGCATGGCTGAGCCTTGATTGGTCTTCCAATTGCCAGTGATGGATTTGCGCCTGTCAGAGAGAAAGAGAGAGGGAGAGAGAGAGAGAGAGAGAGTGAGAGTTGGGTGCATGCATGAAAACATAATAAATTAGCTGCAAGAGCGTAGATAATGCATAGCAGTAGACGATTGTCTCGTTTTGGGTACTTTGAACCCGCATCGAAGTCGTCGTCGTCGTCGTTGAACCCAAACAATGAACTGCACTTGGTAGGATGATTGCCAATTGGACGGCTTTTAGCTGGCTTTTGCGCGCCGACGGTGGCAGTTGAGTCCAAGGTCAATTGTCAGGCAGCAGCGGCGAAGGCACTCGACACTCGACCTTATGGCCATCTACATTGATATCGAGTCAACGAGTCAAGTCGATCGGTCGATCGGCCGATCGGTGCCAGCTGTCTGCGGTCTGGAGCTGTGGTCACTTACATAAAGGCCTTGTAGTTGTTGCCAATCTTTTGAATGTGCACGCTGAACTTGGCATCGATGTAGGGCTCGATGGTGCAATAACAATGCGAATCGTTGCCAGCGCCGCTGACAAGTCCCGCGGCATCTTGCAAGGCGCTCTGGTTCTCCAGCCGGGCCGTGGCCACGCCGCCATGGCAATGTCCAGCCTTCAGCACGCTGGGGAACTTCGTGAACTGGAACTGCAATGACAAAAGAAAACAACATTCCAAAGTTGAGACTGATTGGAAATATATAAATTAAATGTGCCCGCTATCGGCTTTTCCTTTATGCGCTGGCGAACATGAATTTAACTCTATTGTAAACGTATGTTTAAATTCATTGGAAAAGTGCCAAAATGGCTTTGCTTGAATTCGAATTTGTGTTCTGCTAATTGAATTAAGTATATATTATATTTTTACTTATTACAGATAAGCATGGGCGAATTGACTTTTGTTTGTTGTTGCGCTGAAAGAAACTTTTCAAGAAAATTAAAAAATTATTGATTTGCAAAACAATCTTTCTATTAGTTAGAAATAAATCATATATTTCTCAGAAATATATTTAAAAATATTATATTAAGTCAATAAATATTTCAAAATTTCTGATTAAAATATAATTTATTTGCAAGAGAAAAAATGTGTATATATTTCAATATTATTATGGTAAAAATGTGTTCCATCTATTTACTACACGCTATGTGTAGCTCGTTAAAAATTTACCGAGCCAATGAAATTTTGTTGAGTCTACAGTCAGCCCCAATTTGTGGATATATTGTATATAGAGCCAAGAGCACATAAATCATTAATAAACATGTGGAAATCTTTAAATATTTATTGAAAGCCCCCAAAGAGAAACAGATCAACAAACCATAACAAACGATGACGCGGACAGAAAAATTGTCGCAATTGGCGCGCGGCGCAAGAAAACTCTCAATGAATATCAATGACAATGTCTAGAGGAGAAGGGAGAGTAGGGAGCGACGAGAGGTGCTGAGTGCTGAGTGCTGAGCGGATGCCCTCCCCTATGAGTGGATGGATGTATGTATAGGCAAGGGGTGCTTAGCCAATCGTGGTCACACCCCCGCATTGTTGGCATTCTTGGAAGCTGGCACGTACTACGTACATACATATATACTACTCGTATGGCTACTTGTCGGGTTATATCAGCGCACTTAAAATATGCACAGTGACGCATCCGCTGAAAGATATATGTCTGGCATCTACCTAGCAGCTCCCACATAGTATTATCGCATATGCCTTCGGCTTGTACTTGTAGGCGTTGCATGAAACATGCCCCCATGCCCAGTCCCATGCCCTGCACGTGTGCGCGCCACATGGCTAGCCACTTGGACTGCCCATATGAATGTGTATGTGTGTGTGCATGCGTGTGTGAGTCTTAGAGTGGTTGTGAATGTAGACCTGGAAGTAAGTCATTGCTGAGGGGCTGGACTGTGGTGTAAAGTATAACTAAATTATTGCTTGATATGCTCCCTGACAGATGCGCCATTCGGTGTTCGTGCCATTCCATAACCATCTGCATCTGCTGTGGCGCCAGCCATGCTTGTGAGCATAAACTATATGCCCGCAATACACGCAATTAATATTGCTGCCAAGGTAAAATAATGCGCAGAAATGCATACATACGTACATATGCAATTGAAGCAGCCGCTGGCCGCCAAAATACTAGAGTTTCCTCTATTCCTCTTACCTCTTGTCTTTCTTCTCTCGCCTCTTCTAATGAATTTACGACGCTTTTGATCGGCCAGCGACGGCGAGCGTAACTCGAATTGTGTGCGGGTGTACAAAAGACTCAGACCGTTGGAAGAAACTCAATTGGAATGCGCTCATTGCGCGTTGCTCTTGAATTTCTGAATGCGTTTGATCGACCGACGAAAGCCTCTCAGCAGCAAGCAGAAGCAACTTAAGGAGTACCCTGTGCGGGTGTGCGGACGGGTAATCGACTCAAGCAAGCAGAGAAAAAAGCTCAATCTCAACGAGCCGAACGCTCGCTCTTTGGCTAACTGTAACGATCGCGCTGACTCTCTCGGCGCGAGCCGAGTGACTGGCGGTCGGCTTCGGCTATGAAAAGACTTTAAATGGTTGAGTTCACGATTCAGTGCAGAACCGCAGGCGCAGCGAAGTAGAACGCACGAAGACAACGGCGGCAACGACGCGGCGAAAATTATTGTGTGAAAAATTATTATTAAATGTAAATGCAACAAGTCTGAGACCTGACAGTGCGAGTGAACAAATTAAGCAGAGCCCCGCAGTGGTTAATAGTGCTAAATAAACAGTTTTTGGTGCTTAACGATTAACGAGCTACAAATTAATTATTCCGTAAAAAAAAAAATAACAAATTATTTGCAGTCGACTGACGATTCAGGTATTTTAATTATTTCAGTTTTATTTGCATGCACTTAGCATAAGGAATTTATGAATTTGCTCGAAATGAATGCAATTCGTAAACAAGCAAGAATTGTGCGCGTTTTGCGCGCGATTAAAAACGCGTGTTGTTGGGGCAGACGTCAAACTCGCAGTTGCAGCATCGTTGACATAGCGACACAGTTTTCCATATTCACACGCACACACACATACACACGTGGCTGCATTTCTTTCTATTTATTTGTGCTCGAACATATTTGCGTTTATTTTTAATTTGTTTTTATTTCTTTATTTCTTCGCTCGCTGCTTTGCTTTGCTTTACTTCGTCGCAACACATACATATATATTTATGTGTGTGTATATTTGTTTTTTTTTTAATTTTCTGCTCAACTTTGAATTGTCTTAATAGTTTCTAATGTCGCCAATTTGTAAACAAAATGCAGCTATAAAAAAATATTTCTGTATTGTGCAATCCAGCAACATAAATTCATTTAGCACACGGCATCAAAAACGTGGGCAAATGTATATTTGTACGCATTTATGTAAAGCTCATCCAACATCCAAAACATCCAACACATTTAAAAATGTCAAGGGAAGCTGTGTGTCTGGTTGCGTTTCCATATTACGTATACGCCATGCGTGTCGCTGTTGGCATTGGCCACTTAACGCCTGGGCCTAAACTATAAAACATTACATGTTTAACAATTTTTCTTTAGAACGTTTGTTAATTTATGCAAATTTGAGTGCAAAATTTGGTTAGCCATAAAATATTTTACACATTGCATTTAAAGTGCTTTGAGTGGTTCGCTCAGTTTCGTTCAACTCTTAAGCATTTCCTTCACTTGACCTTACTTTTGCTTCTGCTTTAGTCAGCATTTCAATATATTGCTGTATTCCATCAATATATATATATCATACTTTATATTTGTATTTATTCTGGGAAATGTGAGCATGAATATGTAGCTGACTTGATTTTCATATATATCGTACATATGTATTTGTTTTGCATATATGTTTTATATATTCTTGAAAAGCCTGATGTTGTTGTTGTTGATTTTTTGGTTATTTTGCCTTGAGTCTGAGTTGACAAGAGATTATATGTTTATTTTGGCCTGAAGTTATTGTCCACTCTAATGTAATATTCTCAAATTAAGCATTATTTTTAGAATAATATTTCTATTTTGTTATACCCTGAACCCAATGAAAATGATTTGTTTTACTTGCTGTATTGCCTATGACTAATGCGCTTAATTTGGACAAATGGCTGATAATAATTGGTATTATAGCTTTTGGGAAAATTCGCTTTAAATAAGATATTGTTCATTTTCAGAAAACTATCATTATCTTTATTTGATTTCTTGCTAATTCTACATCTTTGATGTGTTTGTATATTACAAAAATATACAAAAAAAAAAAAAAAAAAAAAATAAATAAATAAATTAAAAAAAAAAAAAAAATATATATATATATATATAGAACTTTAGATATAAAGAGAAATACCATTATAAACACAAACGATAGAAAAGTAAATCAAAGGTCTAAGCCATCAGAGATAGAAAATTGATAGATATAAATGTTTATTTCGTATATGTACATACATATGTCTAATAATATAATAACTACAAGAGTTATGTTATGTTTTCAGTTAAACAATTATTGAATTCAGCTCAGTGATCGAGCTCGTTCCCATATATGTATTGTTATTGTATTTCGAAGCAAACAAATGGGTTTAAGATTCGAGTCAATTAATGAGTCTGGGCCTGACAGGCTTATCAAATTCGAACACAATTCTTTCGCACATCGTTGAGTGTGTATTTTTGGACTGGGGGCAGCCAGGAGTGCGAAGCGTCAGCGAATTGTTTAAAGTGTTTCGCCTTATATAGAGAATGATTGTTTGTTATTTTACACTTGTTTGACTTTTGGCACAAGTCTCCGACAATGGCGATGTCGATGGCGATGGCGACACACCCACAGTCGATTTTGGGATTATCCGTTGGTCATTCGGGTGGGTGTTGTTTGACGCTGTGGCTCCAACCACCAGAAATCCATTAATAATTTTCTTGCGCCACATTGCAATTAAATATTATTGTACAATTAAAGAGAAATGCAAAAGACAGCTCGACAAAGAGCATTCGCTGTATTCGCATCGTGTAAATTTCAGAATCGCAAATTTATTGACGACGATTTCTCTTCACTGCCCGCTCGCCTCCTCCCGCCACGCATCGGCCTGGCTTCGGCATGGAATCGGCCTGGCATTGGCCATGGATGGGGATGATAATAAGTTTGGCCTGGGGATGGGTCGACACGGTCTGCCTCGCTTCTGTGTGGGCTCAGTGCGCCCAAACTGACGTCGCCTGGGTTTGTCAATTTGTCAATTTGTCTGATTGTCTGTCAGCTTTTAAATTTATTAAACAAGATCTGTCAGAGCGCATTATTGTGCATGAGTATGGAATTTTTATATTAAAAATTGCATTTTTCTGACCGAGTAAAAAAATACTTTAATAAATCAATGAATAATTTGATGGAATTCATAAGTGTTTCATGAAGCCAAATTATTGAGTCAAATGAGCAAAACGAATGAATTCTCATATATCACAGCGGAGGCAATGCAATACATGCCAGTGAGAAAAATAATATACATATATATACACATAAATTATATTATAAGCTATAAAACTTTCATCCTCTGGAGTATCAAGTTGCATCATAACATAATGAGAAAATCTTTCTCACCATTCATCAATTCATTTTTACGATGGGAATTTACATACTTGATTTTAAGAATTACTAACAGGATTCGTTAGTCGATATAAAGATCT